TGGGCCTCGATGGACCCATATTTACCAAGACAGGCTTGGGCTCAGGGATTTCAAAGAACTTTTGTCCCCTGCGTCCGGGACCCAGGAGCTACTGGGTCATGAAAACTCGTATGTCATAAAAGTAAGGCTTGACATATTTGACTTTATAAAATGCAAACTGTATGGCAACAAAAAATGTCATTCACTTCACCAAGAAGATATAGCGATTATAAATATTTATGCAGCCAACATCAGAGCTCTTAAGTATGTGAAGCCATCATTGACAGACTTGAAGGAAGAAATAGCAACACAATAATAGGAGAATCAATACTCCACTTTCAATAATCAATAGGAAATCAGACAGAAGATCAGTAAGAAGAAGGACTTGAACCACACCATAGACCAGCAGGGTTAATAGACATACATAGAACACTCCACCCAACAACAGCACAATAGACACTTTTCTCAAGTGCCCGGGGAACATTCTCCAGGATAGAACACCATATATTAGGCCATGAAACAAGTTTTAACAAATTTTTAAAGACTGGAATCATACAAAGTACTTTTTCCAACCACAAAACTAAAAAATCAGTAGCAGAAGAAAAACTGGAAAATCCAGAAATATATGGAAATTAATAATTCTTAAACAACCAATCAGTCAAAGGAGATGTCACAAGAGAAATTAAAAAGTATCTTAAGACAAACGAAAATGAAAATACAACAAGCCAAGACTTATAAGATGCAGCAAAAGCAGTACTAAGAGGAAAATTTGTAGCTGTGTGCATGTACATTACAAAGAAGAAAAATCAGATCAACAACCTAACTTCACACTTGAAGGAACTAGGGGAAAAAAGGGGAACAAACTAACCCAAAGCTAGCAGAGGAAGAAAATAATAAAGACTGAAGCAAAGATAAAATAAGAAATTTTTAAAAAGAAATAATAGTGAAAATCAACAAAACCAGGAGTTGGTTCTTTGAAAAGATCAACCACCATCTTTATGACAAACCTTTAGCTAGACTGGCTAATAAAAAAAGAGAGAGAGAGAGAAGAATCAAGCAATTAAAATCAGAAATGAAAGAGGGGACATTCTTTTACACAAGTAAAAATGGTTATAGGCAAATACTATGAAAAAATTGAATGCCAACAAATTAGATAATCTGGATACAGTAGAAAAATTCCTAGAAACACACAACTTACCAAGAATGAATCATAAAGAGATAGAAGACTGGCACATGATACTAGTTATACCTGATGTATAACTAGGAAGGTGACTGAATCAATAATCAAAATCTCCCAGCAAAGAAAAGCCTAAGACTCCATGACCTCACTATTGAATTCTCCCAGACATTTAAAGAAGAATTCACACAAACTGGACCACTTTCTTACACCATATACAAAAATAAACTCAAAATAGATTAAAGACTCAAATGTGAGGTCTGAAACTATAGAACTCCTAAAAGAAAACATAAGCAGTCATCTCTTGGACATCAGCCTTAGGAACATAGTTCTCCTCAGGCAAGAAGAACAAAAGCAAAGATAAACCATTGGGACCACACCAAAATAAAAAGCTTCTGCATAGCAAAGGAAACTGTCAACAAAACAAAAAAGCAACCTACTAAGTGGGAGAAGATATTTGCAAATGCCATATCCAATAAGGGGTTAATATTCAAAATATATAAAGAACTTACACAACTCAACACCAAAAAACAATGTATTAAATTTTAAAATGGCCAGTGGACCTCAGTAGACATTTTTCCAAAGACATCCAGATGGCCAACAGACACATGAAAAGATACAAATCAAAACCACAGTGAGATATCACCACACACCTGTCAGAATGGCTAGTATCAAAAAGACAAGGAGAAAGGAATCCTTGTACACTGCTGGTGGGAATGTGAACTAGTGCAGCCATTGACAATATGGAGGTTCCTCAAAAAATTAAAAATAGAAATATCATACAATCCAGTAATTCCACTATTGGATATTTACCCAAAGAAAATGAAAACCCTAATTGGAAGAGATATATAAACTCCTATGTTTAGTGCAGCATTATTTACAATAGCCAAAACATGGAAGCCACCCAAGTGTCCATGAATAGCTCAGTAGATAAAGAAGATGTGGTATATATGCACAGTGGAATATTACTCAGTCATAAAAAAGAATGGTATGGTGCCATTTTTGATGACATGTATGGACCTGGAGGGTATTATGCTGAGTGAAATAAGTCAGACAGAGAAAGACAAATATATATGACTTCACTTATACATGGAACCTAAAAACAAAACAAATGAACAAACAAACAACAACAACAACAAAAACCAGACTCTTAAACACAGAGAAAAAAACTGGTTGCTGCCAGAGTGGAGGGGGATAAGGGGATGGATGAAATAGATGAAGGGGATTAAAAGGTACAAATTTCCAGTTATAAAATAGATAAGTCAAGGATATGAAAGTACAGCATAGGGAATACAGTCAATAATACTGTTATAATGTTGTATGGGGACAGATGGTGACCAC